CACATGGCTTTGAACATAACTTTTATTTCCCCGCCTTTCCCTCAAATTCTAACAAAGCCTTAACTTCAAAGCTCAATTAATGGTGTAAAGTATCTTTCACCATCAGCAACCACATCAGCTACTACCCAGACTTGTATAATTGTCATCACTGCTACACCCTCCAATAACCACATGCATCACAATCAATAGCAAAAAGGTCATACAACTCCAGCAACAGAATATAAACGATTCCGCCAACTCCAATGCCTGGGATGCGGAAGCATAAAGGTATGAAAATCTACCCAGGATGGCTATGCAATGCAAAAGAAGAAACATTATAAATATGGAGAATTTAGAGGCGAAGGAGGGGCGGAAAAGAAAAACTACTTAATAGGTATCAAGTTGGACATAGATGTAGATGCTGAAATCTCAACAGATCTAATAATTATAAGGTATCAAGCTGTTCTCGCTATGATACAATACAAAAGGTTAGCAGTTTGGTTATGCCTAAATTGCATTTCCACTCTCATAAAATCTACTGCAACAGAGGATACACCATTTAAACTACTACAATAGAGCAGCATATCCATTATAGTAATAGCTGCAAGGAGAACCAAATTGCACTGTGGCCTTGAACTTGTTCCTTACTTTCCCCTGGACGTAAAAAATAAATAAATAAATAAAAAGGAGGAAACAAAACATTCTAGAGAAGAAATGAAAGTTATGCCTACAAATTGGAAAGAATGTAGGGGAATAAACTGTGAGAGAGAGAGAGCGAGAGAGAGAGAGAGAGCATCAACATACGCATTCATCATCAAAGTTATGTTGTCCCCTTTTAGCAGGATCCTCCCTGAGCAAAGCCAAAGATTAAATTAATAATGTCACAGGAAAATGTAAAAACCTAAGAAAGAGAAAACATTTGAAAACTGAAGAATATAATGTTTTGTAACTACCTAGTGACTTTCTACTTTTCTTCTTAATGCTGACTTCTTCAGCATCATCCAAAACCAAATTCATATACTCATCAAACCCCTGAAACAAATGAAAAGAAGCATGATTTAATCTTCAAATCACAGAGGAAGGAAAGCAAGTGCACACATAAAAACTATTTATACATTGCTTATAATGCAAATTGATGAGATAGGTCAAGAAGATACGAATTCTTGTATTTTTGCACCAGTGTGCAGAAGAATAAAGTATCAATCTGCTTTCATCTGGTCACATTAACAGCAAATTCAATAATAACTTTTCATGACTTGTTCCTTTTTAAGAGATGGGAAATTGAAATTTTATGAGGGGAAGAGGGGGCACTTTAATTGCCAGCCACTTCATGCATACATAAGACTTTTTATTTCCGACATCTGAGCATTTAGGTCAATGGCCCTGCTCAAAGAGCTGAGTTTGAATCCCCCTTCCTCCAAAAAAAAAGAAAGGATATTTATCTCCTATTACAATATATACTTGGGAATCCACAACTTACAAGTGAAACAGAAGACAAATGATAGCAAATGTTACATGCAACATTTTAAAGCAAAAACAATCCGTGCCTGTTATATTTTAATTTGCATACTTTCCATGTTGCCCACGCTATTTACGGGACCAAAGAACTTGCAATCTCATTAAGTTTACATGTACCACATCTCTAAAGGAAGAAGAATATGTAGACCAAACGAAACAGTTTCTACTGAATGCCAAGAACAAAAGAAACAGTTTCTATGTTCCTAGTTTCTGACTTTTAAGAGCAAAAACAAGGTCCTAAAACATCTGCACTTTGGAAAATCCACAGATAGCATTAGCAACAACGGCCGTAAACATTTTCAGTTTAAAAGCTCTAGTAAACTTTTAGTTTACCCACTTGATTTACACTGTTTGCAAGTTATTTTCTCAAATTTATCATAAAATAGTTTAAAAAGCACCACTATATTTGAATAAAAATTATCAAATAATTAAAAAGAAACACTAATTAAAACATAGGGATTCTTTCTTTTGCCATCCAAATTCAGTCTTTGGCAAAGTTACTATCCAAAAATCAACAAATAAATATTCCTTTTCTACAAAATATAAACAAAATTAAATAATAAAAAAAAAGATAGCAGTTGTTACAATAATTAAACATACAATGATACGTCCTTCGATTCTCAAATCCTTCTGTTCGAAAAGCCAAATCTGAATGCGAGCTTTCTGCCATAATCCAATAGAAATTGTTAGCAAAATCCACCAATTTAAAATATATATATATTTACACATAATTTGCAAAAAAATAAGAGAAAGAGAGAGACTTACGCTTTGGAGAAATCTGAAAATCAGATTCTGCAATCACCAGAAATTAATTAAAAAAAATTAAACAATATGTCTAACGAGAGAAATACCTAAAATGCATGTGGAGAAAGGAAAGAAGATAAGGGAAGAAAGAGAAGTACAATGGGCTGGGTCATGATACGTTGGACTTTGGTGCTGGCCATGGTGTGTTCCGCTCGCCTCTTCTCTTTTCTTCTTCTTCTTCTTCGGTCTTCTTCTCTGCTGACTGCGCCTCGGAAGCCAAATGGTGAACCCTCGCTATTCTCACGTACTTGCCTGTTCTTCCTTTCCCCTTGACTGCTAATTCTTTAGGTTAGCAGGCAAAGTGTAGACCTTTCATCACAGCCCAACGGCCCATTTTAGCCCATTAGAAAAGTTTTCTTTTTTCACATTAAAGAATAATTCTTTTATTATTTTCAATAAATTTTAAATACATTTTTATTTTTATAATATTTAATCAAGTTTTTATATTTTCATTTTCAAATAAATATATTTTTATAATTAATAATTAATTATTATTTTATATTCATGTGACGATTGATGTGATCTCGATATGAAAAGTAAAAATATTATATGATCATATCATCATACCATATCATTATATATTATAATATGTTAATATGTCATATTAATATTAAGTAGTATAAAATTAATAAGTGACGGTTTAACTAATAATAATTAATCAACCATTAATAATGAAAGATAATTTAGTTTAATAAAAGTAATAACCTTAATTGAATGAAATAAATGAATAAAAACTTATTTTAATTTTTGTAAATAATTCAATAATATTCTTAAATATCATCTTTGTTGTTTTATTTACAAGAGCGAATAAGTATTTTATAAATGCATGTGAAACAAAAAATATATTTATTCACTGATGGGTAATTAATTGTAATTACTCAAAATATTATTTATTATTTTACGTTAAGTAATATACATTAATATTTTTAAATTTTAATCATAATTTTATATTAATTTATTAATTTTCAAAATAAATACTCCACTTCAAAATAATATTTTTCATTGAACATATAAATTTAACTGTTAATCAATCGTTAATATTTTCTTTTGTTTAATGACGTGATGATATTAAAAAATTAATTTTATCCTTCATTAATTTTTAAAATTACCAAATTATAATTTTTCTAAAAAAAAATCTCTTCCACCTCCCTATCACCAATTGTCACCCCGTAGTTGGTTACCTCGCAATAGAATTTGGATGAAGAGTGCCAGATTCGTCCAGATCTTGGGGGAGCACCTACGCGAGAGCATGGTGTTCACTTGATTGAGGGAGCACTAGAAGATTAGGTTTTGCTTTCTTGATCTGGGGAGCATCGAGAGATCTGATCGGATTTGGTATTTTAATGATTAGATTCGATCATGAGGTGATTGATAGGTGTATTCCCTTACAACGATTGGTCAAAGAGAAAAAAAATAAAAATAAAAAATAAATATTTTAGTAATTTTATATTTAATTTATTAATATAATTTACATGTTTGAGATTCGGTGTTTAATTTGAAAACTAATAAACTCTAGTGAAATTAAGATTAAAGTTTGAGAGTGTTAATGTATTTTATCTTTTTATATTTGACTAAGTTAATGATTTATTTGATTCAAAATAAAAATATAAAAATTTATTTGAGTTAAAATAAATAATAAAATATCAAGACATCATAAATTTTGATCAAAATTACACAAAAGTCTATTAATTTAAAAAATAGACATTCTATCTTAAAACAATATTTGTTATTAGACACGTAAATTCAACCGTTAAGAATTTTATTAGTTTATTAATGTGACAATATTTTTTAAATAATTTTACCTTCAAACAAGTCAAAAATTATAACATTATATAAACTTTTATTTTTAATTTTTTTTATTTAAAAAAAAAACTTGCTTTCTTCCCTCGCCAGATCCAATCAATCTAGCACGCTCCTTACTAAGGGAGTTTTTGTAGAAAGGGGCTAGATTTTATGCTTAAGATCACGCTAGATTTGGAGCTCTTGATTGCGTCAGATTGCACACTCTAAATTTGGCGCTCCTCGACGTCGAAGAGTGTTTGATCTAATCATGGGATGACTAGTGATAGTAAAGAAGCATCGCCATTCGGGCAATGTCTAAATAAAAGGAAAAGATGAGAGAAAGAAAAAAGAGTATTTTAGTTTTTTTACTTTTCATTAATGATGTTAAGATTTTTGGGGTGAAGTGTATATTTTTATAATTAATAATTTTTTATGTAATTTTAGTTAAAACTTAAAGTGTTAAGGTATTTTACTTTAAAATAAAAATGCATAAATTTGATTAAATTAATAAAAAAATAAAATCTTATTTGAATTTTATTGAATAATTTAAACTTTTTATAGATATTATGACATAAAAAAAGTAATTACTAAATTTTAATTTTTCATAATTAAAAAAATAAAAACGACTAAAATGAAAAAAACACATATTCATAAATCGAATCAAATCCAATTTGATGGCTTAAAATGCAAGCACCCAACTGGATCTATCAATTTAAGTTTATTATTAGTATGTTAAAAAAATAATTTTTACATTGATATTTTAATAATTTTAAATAATTTAGCCTAAAAATTATATTTAGGACCCGGTTTAAGTCGGACCAGACCCAAGTGCTACACGGGTAGCCGCTCCGTCCTACCAACTAACGATGGAGCAGGCAGGCTTAGGTCCATTTACTTAATTTTATCGTCTCTGTCATTTCATTTACCTTTTTATTGTTAGTTTCTCGTCCTCTTATTTCTCTATTTTCATGCTCCTCTCGACCTCGAGTTTTGGTTTAGGGTTTCAATCGAGATCTTGACATGGCGGGTGCTGGAATCCACCCATATCACCAGCAATGGCCGCCGGCACCAGCACCTCCGCCCCCACCAGCCGCAGCAGCAGCCGCTCCTCCACCACCTCCTTCTGTCCATCATCCTCCTCCACCTGCTCCCTCTCATGACGAGGTCAACTCCCTTTCTCTCACTCGATTTACTCCATTCAGGCCATAGATTTGAGTCTGAATTGTAGGATTTGATGGTAATCGGACCTTATTTATAAGTGATTAGAAATATAATAGTTTCTTTCCGCTCAGCTTAGCTTTGTAGATGCCATTTCTTTTCTCTTTCAAATCGTTTGTATATAGGTGAGTTCACATGGATATTGAGGTTCCAATTTGTATTTGCTTTTTTCTTTTCGAAAATTAAAATAATATTTTTTAATAATTAAAAATGAATATTTATGCTAATCTATGATTTGGTTTTTATAGCTGCGACACGCTTCTATTTTAATGTGCATTACAGTGTAATTATTTGTTCGTGTTTAAGTGAATGAATGTTTTTGGCTTGCTTGTTAGCAACTTTTGAAGAAGTAACAACAAAATAGAGCCTTATTTTTGTGTAGAAATGTGCACGTTTATGTACGTGTGCAAATACTTTTGGAGGACTTATTTTTTGTTTACATGTACAAGTTCTTTGGACTTTCCTTCGATATTGGAAAGCTAAAAGAAAATTTTGTTCTGAGTTCAGGTTCGGACTATCTTCATTACGGGTCTTCCTGAAGATGTTAAAGAGAGAGAGCTACAGAATTTGCTGAGATGGCTTCCGGGTTATGAGGCTTCGCAAGTGAACTACAAGGGAGAAAAGCCCATGGGTTTTGCTCTCTTCTCAAGTGCACAACTTGCAGTTGCTGCAAAAGATTCCCTTCAGGTGTTATAAATTATTTAATTGGCGTTTTTATTTTAACCATCTGATACAATCCTTCTTTTTGGAAGCACTGATTGTGTTTGATTCTGGGGGTATTAGGACATGGTTTTTGATGCTGAGTCAAAGTCAGTATTGCACATAGAGATGGCCAAGAAGAATCTATTTGTTAAAAGAGGTGAGTCATCATTTAACACCTTGGCCTCAATGCCAGAGTGAAAAAGACTTTGCTTAGTTATCAAGAAACATATAGACAGATTGTTTTATTCTGGAGATAAATTCGTGCAAAACATATAAATTGGTTTGAAGTAATCCTGAAAAATGAAAGACAATGAGATGATGGTTCAAAGAACAGAAGAGGACTGAGAAAGGAAATTTGAGGAAATTTGAAAGTAGTGCATTTATTGGTTTGAATGTGACTGAAATATTGTCAATACTTTTTAGTTACAGGATTGATTTTAGATGTATGCTTTGGAGATTCTTCTGATATTTTTGATCTGTAGTGTTAAAATTCAGTCAATAAAGAAAATTGGGAATAGTAAAAGAAGTAAATAAATATTTGTTAGCGTTTTATTGTAATGATTATTTTTGGTTTGTTTGTAGCTTACTCGTCCGATCTATGCACCAATGAAGTTGAATGTTTTATTCTAAAACAGCTATTCTCTCTTGGGAACTAATCCAAAATTGGAAAAATTCCATTTAGGTAGCTGATTTTTTCAACCAATATTTTTCTTTTTCTATTTCTTAATTTTCTGGCCTTTTTCTTTGTTTTCCCTATGGTAATGTGGAGCAATATCATAAGTTTTGACAAAAAGGAGCTAGAATTCTGGAAATCGTGGGCCAAATGGCAGGAAGAAGTTTTTCAGTTGTCACTTGTTTGGATTTTTATTTGGGCTTTTTTTTTCTATGTTGAAATTTGATTTTATTGATTAAGGTCTGTACGGTTTGAAGTTTCACATTGAAGAGTCCTAATATCGTCTTCTGAAGTTTATTTATCCCCACAGGAATTAGATCTTTAGTTGACTGTTCCAGCTTATTATTTTGATGCACATGAATAATTCCTATTTTTAAAATGTCATATTGTAGTTCCCAATACTCATTGACTACTGGTTAATTAATTATTTGCTTCCAGGATTTCTGTACTTAGTTCTTGTTTTCAAAATCCTAATATAAATAGTGGAATATCCTTTTACTTTGAAAAGCCTTTATGATATAATATTGGCCTTTGGTTATTGACCACTTAATAGGTGGGAATGTGTGTGCGGTGTGCATGAGTGAGTGAGAGGGATAGGCGTAGTAATCTGATAAAATTTCAATGCAAATTGTGCTAAATCAAGATCATACTTTTATTTTGTGATGTTTATTCTGTAGGTATAGTAGCAGATTCTAATGCATATGATCAAAGCAAACGATTGCGAACTGGTGGTGATTATTCGCACAGTGCTTATACAACTCCATCTCCTTTTCACCCTCCTCCTGCTCCTGTTTGGGGACCACACGGGTAAGAAGCTATGCCAGAATGTTGGATACTGCTATGGTCAAAGTTTGCTTAGCCGAAAATAATTTCAGCTGTAGTTACTGCATTTCTTATAAGTTAAACATTTGGTGTATTTGGCTTAGGTATATGGCTCCAACTCCTCCTCCATATGATCCATATGGAGGTTATCCTGTTCCTCCAGTACCAATGCCAACCCCTGCTCCTGTACCAGCTCCTAGCAGTTACGTGCCTGTTCAGGTAATTTCTATGTGCCACATGCCATTTCTTCCATGGCTTAGATTTTGTGTCAATTTTGATTGTCCCTTTAGGTCCTTCTAAATTATGTAAATGGCACGTTTTTACTATTTATTTAATAATAATTGACTTTGATGAAAAATATTAGTTCATTATCATATACCTGGCTTTATAATGAACTTCAACTGAAAAGTTGGCTTGTTGGACACTGGAGATATGACCCTTGTGCCCAATGCTTTTGTGGATAATTGTTAGTCAACGGAGAGCTTGCAACTTATGAGGATGCTATTCATTCTTTCTGAGAAACTGACATGCAGCATCCATCATGTGCAGTTTTCCCTGGAAGCCAATGAAAACTAATTCATACTTAAATATACATACTCACCATTATAGATCATTATGTACCAAAAGAACATTTAAAATCATCAAAAATACTTTTATGCAGCCATGTTTTCTGTTTATGAATTTCTGGCAGTTGCGATGTTGGACTTCCCTTGTTTGGTTAAGGCCTGTTTAGTAGCATGGAGTACTGTGGTGGGAGGGCTCCTCACTGCCCTGGACCCCTGATTTTTCACTGGAACCAACAGGCTCTTAGTGTGCTACTTGTGTCTGTGTCCACCAGTCATCTGTTATTAAGTTTTCCTTATGGTTGTTGGTATATTGTACGTGTTGCATGTCCAAGTATATACAAATGATATCAATTTTATTGTCCACTATTGGCTAGCCTTTTTGTCCTTAATATATTTTTCTTTTTTAAATCTCATTTTTAACGGATAGAACTGTTATCATTCTATCATCACTACCTAATATGTTTCGCTAGACTAAGCTATCGTTTTTGATCTTGGAAGATATTTTCTATGATTATTAGTACAAGTTGGATCTTAGATTATGAAACATCCAGGCTTTGCATTTCGCAAGGCTTAAAATTTTCGTTATGCATTTCTAACAACCAAGGGTGAATGTGTTTCTTCAAATTCTGCATATGCAAGAAAGATCCTCCTTTTAAGACTCTTCTATCCTGAAAATATTTCCTCTTTGTCTTGGCCAATATTCTGACACCCCTAGCTTGCAACCTGCCTTTTTTTATGTTTTAGAAAGGAAAGGGGATGGGGAGGGCTCCAATGTGGATGTAATAATTGCAGTAGTAAAGAATTTATATTCTGTAGAAGAGATTGACAAATTTGATGAGGTTCAGATTTGCTGCATTTTCTGAAATTTTCTTGGAGAAGAATTTTCTAATAGAGGAACATGCCTGAGCTGAACTTGAAGAAATACCTTAGCTGGCGTATCATAGCTGTTTGATTGTGTATTAGGGTAATATATTGCTATAACAAGGGCATTTTCTTCTATGGCTGTTTGATTCTCTCAAGTCTCAAGTTTCCAATCCTTGTTATAAGTAGGGTATTTTTATTTCATATAGTTTGAAGTGGTATGATTATTTTTCCTATTATGATACATCCAGCAGTTGGTTGTCAAATGAGTAACCAAGTAAATTTTACAGGTTCTTCGTTATTTTGTTTTTAACAAATTTTTTGTTGGCAGAATACCAAAGATAACCCTCCTTGCAATACCTTATTTATTGGCAATCTTGGAGAGAATATTAATGAGGAAGAACTAAGGGGCCTATTCAGTGTGTAAGAATGTCTTAATCCCTGGCTAGTTTATGAGCTGTTTTATTTCTTATGTAACTTTTCAGTTGCTCACTGATTTCATACTTCTGCTGTACATGCAGTCAACCTGGTTTTAAGCAAATGAAGATCTTGAGACAAGAAAGGCATACTGTTTGCTTTATAGAGTTTGAAGTAAGTTTCTTCTCTTAATCTACTTGGATGCAATCGATTATTCATGGAATGAAAATTTCTTGGGTATTTCCGTAAGCTTAGAGTTTGTTTCCCCAACTTGCAGGATGTCAATACTGCAACCAATGTGCACCACAATTTACAGGGTGCTGTGATCCCTAGTTCTGGTTCTGTTGGCATGCGAATACAGTATCCTTTTTGCATTATGTCATGGCTTTACTGTTTTAAATAATCTTGTTTTCGCTTTCTTTATTCTGTCAACTGTTGCATATTTATCGGTGCTGTGTGCATGTGCTATTTCATGGGAATGTGTCTTCAATGTGACAATCCGACAGGTTGTCTACCTAATAATTACCCCTTGTACTGCTTCTTGTTAATCTCAGTGTAGGTTAGAAGATGACATTCCACGAACATCTCCATTTTAGATGAACACGATATGTTTTTAATGTCGAATTTTTATTCTAAGAACTTCAATCTATGCTTTCGGTCCTTTTAAGAAGGGTTGGGGTGATAAACTTATAATTTCTCATAATTTTTTTATATTAGCTTTATAATTCATATATTTAGTCATCAGAAATTAATAATTGAATTACAAGTTATCTTTTATTGTGATGTGTGTGAAAAAGATCAATTTATAGTCAATTATGTATTATTTTAAAACATTAAAATACATTCTTATATACTGAATGCTTTGTTGTATTTACATTTCTTGTGCATCACACATATTCAAAACTAGTCATTGTACTTATTATACTTTGTTTTGATAATGTGCAAGATATAAACAAATTATATATAAGAAATCACTTTAGAAGGAGAAAAAATAAAAAAAAATAAAGTATGCATAGTTGAAAAATTGTATATATCATGTAAATCTAGTTTTTTGGAAAGTAAAGCATTACGTAAATATTGGTTTTTTTGAAAGAAGAATTTTAAAAATGTTGAATGCTAATAAAAGAAATTAAGAAAATCAAGGGGGCCAAGTTAAACTAAATAAGAAAAGTGAAAAAACTTCCATGGGGCTAAATAAGAGTTTGTAAGAAGCCAGGGGGCTCCATTCCACTCCCTTACCCCCCTGGCACCATCCTTGTTTTGGTGATGTTATTAGCTTACATATTTCATTCATAACTTTTGTAATATGAAGGCCTATTTGAAGATGGTTTTCTTTCTTGACTTCAAAATAGATATTCTAAGAATCCTTTTGGTAAAAGGAAGGACTCTGGTCATCCAATTGCTTCCCCTGGTGCAAATGGTGCTCCACCAGCAATGACTTACCAGTAGATCAAGGGGATGTTCTCTGTTTTCTGTGCTCCGACAAATACAACTGTTACATGCTAGGATGCATCTTGCAGCTGTTGCATGCATCCATCTCATTGTCAACATCAGCATTAGCATCTCTTCTCATGTGTTTGAATGCACATAGTTGTTTCATGAACACACCATTTGCTCATGTTATATCAATTTACCTAAGACATGCATTTGTCTGCAGCATGCGTTATGGCAGGTTAACTTTATAGGGTTTGAGATAACTTTTAACATTTGTAGAAGTAGCACATTATCTACAGTTTTGGTTATTTTGCGTGCTATTCTACCTCATATTAAACATTGACCATACCATGATGCCGGACTACTGTTGTCCTATATTAGGTTCAACCGCATCACGCAGCATACATCTGAAGTTTGATTTAAATACATTACATTACTAACATGACATTCAAAGATAATCCTCAGCTTCATTTCATGGCAGTATTTTGATTTAAAAAGCGTAGAAAATCATACCATTTTTCATTCTCTGTACGTTTAGTTGTTAGAGCCATTGCCGTAGCCATAGACACTATTCGTTCCAGTCAAGTGGAAAAAAATGATTACCATGTTTTTACCATATTAGGGTCTTCAAAGCATAACTATAGGAACAATTTGGAAAGATGTATGCCACTGTGATCTAAATACATTACATTAATAACATGACATTGTAAGATAATCCTAATTTTCATATCATTACACTACGATGATCTGAAAAAGCGGTAGGAAAGCATAGCATTGCTCATTTATTATGAGGAAGTATTATCACCATAGCCATAGCCTTAGGCACACCATATGCTTCCAGTCAAGTGAAAGGACGATTACCATCTTGCTAGCATTTATTTGTAAGGTCTTCAAAGCATAATTTTAAGGGCATTAGAAAGATGTATGCCGCTGTGATTTATATGCAGGATAAGCTACTCTGTATGAGCGTTGAGGTGAAGAGTACTTCAGCTGATATGATTGTTTCAGGTAATGTTTTAGTGGTAGTCAAGAGTCGAAACATCCCCATGTGGATGTTCAGTTGACAGCTCTTAGGTTGCAACGTGTGTCGAGGTTGTTCTATGTTCTAACTGCCAGTTTTCCATTGCTCTTTATTTTGGAAGAACTCTTGGGTCTCTCTTCTACCTTCTTCTTTGTAAATGGTACTTGATGATGCTGTGGGTTAAAGGAGTTGTGTGCACAGGGCGCAAGCATAGTGTAGTAGGGTGAAAAGAAATGGGAAAAATGGTAAAAAGGACATGGGACAGTTAATGTTTTGCACTTGCAGTGAATGAAAACAATTTTCTAACAGTGATTGACTGGTTTGTTTTGAATCCTTCAGTTATAGACTAATTAACCTAATACTTCTAACTATTTATGGTGGTTTTTGACTTAGTGTGGATCTAGCTGAGCTGTTCCATTTTTCATAGCAACATACTTAGCCATTATTATTATTACAATAGTGAAGTCGGCCAGAGCTATTGGCAGAGTGGTTAGTCCCACCTCCCCTCCCTTATGGATGGGAGAGGTTAATCCTGCGGCTCTGACCTTAGTCTTGCCTTCTAAGTTTTAAGGGGGTCAGCTCTGCTCTCGCTTTATAACCCACAAAGGTTATTTTAATTAAATATAGAAAAATTTTGACTAAGAAATGTTAAATTGGGACTCAACAGTATGTTTGGTTGGGGAATGGCTCTATTTTGAAGAAACATTTGTTCCTTTGTTTGATCAAGGAATTGTTACTTGTAATCTTTATTCCCAGAATCACTCGATATCAAAGGTTAGTTAATCCCAACCTCTCTAGCACAAAATTTGCTATACCATGGGTGGGGGAATAATTGATAAGATAAAAATTCTGTTTATAAAAAAACAAAAAAAAATAAATGAAAAAGATTAATTTTTTAATTATATGTTATAAAAATTAATAGTTTAAATTTAAAAATTATTTAAATTTATCAATATTTAATCATAGTAATGATTAAACTGTAGATAAATATTAAAATTTAAAAGATCTATTTTAAATAAGTTCTAAATTACTAATATTTTAAAAATAAAATAAAAATAGATAATTATATGTTATTATAAAAGGTATTTTTATTATTTATTATTTATTTTTTAAAATTATTCTTATCAATCAAATATTGTAATAAATCATTATAGTAATTTTTATTTTATTTTGTTAATCAAATTATATAATAATATTTTTATTTTATTTTTATAGAATATTAATTTTATATTATTTTATTGCATTCTATTCCCTAAATACAAGAGGAAAGGGTATTTCAAATGAGACTTATCTCGATTTATTGAATTTATAAATTACGTTTATTGTTGAAAAATTTAAATTATGATTATTCATAAAAGAAAAAAGGATTAATGTAGAATAGGTAATAGAATGGGGCCGACCGAATTTTACAAGCAACATATAATTTAAATTTAAAATATATTTACAAATATTAAAATTCTCTCTCTCTCTCTCTCTCTCTGTATATATATATATATAAAGAGGAGTCGGACGCAATAAGAAGTGTGAAACGGTTGACTGATGAGAGCAAAGCGAAAGCATTTATTGATTTTCATATTAAACTAATTAAATTGGAAAATATAGCACGCCAAACACTCATTCCCCTTTGTTTTTACTGAATAAATTTGAGCTTTTCAGTTGAAGTGGACTGCTATGAACTGGTCCAGTCTGTGTCCTCACGTTCCAGCCTCCGCACTCTTTCCATTGTTTCCCTTTTAAAAGGCAGAAAGCAAGAAGAGTCTTGGTCTTCCCTGGCTTATTCTCGCATCAACAACAAGACAACAAGAAGGGACAATCTCCAACGAATTAAAATTTAATTAGTTAAGTGTGAATTTTATCTAAACCTGTTTTTTAATTATTTTCTTAATCTGTTTAACGTGTCATTTCATTATTTTTTTAATTAACATATTACGGATATCCTCTTTATTCTTAATTAATATTTTATGAAAAATTTTTGTTTATAAACATAATAAATTATTAATTTTTATTCAAAAAAATTATCAAAATATTCTCCAAAAAAATAAAAAGCCTTCTCCATCACGTTCCAGCTTCAGGTGTCCAGAGAGTGTAAGTGAAATGTATCCATTAACGTAGTTACTATGGCAGTTAAAAGGTATAAATCAGCACAAAATCATGGCGCTGCTGATTCCTTCTTTCAACCTTATGAAGCGGAGAGATGAAATCTATCATAAAGAAAAAAGTAAGGGAGGAGTTAATCAATTTTTATTAAAAAGTTAAAAATTAAAAAAATTAAAAATTAAATTTTTTAAAATTAATATATTAAATTTAATCATTAATAATCAAAAAATTTATAATAAACAATAATTTTATATAACATGTAAATCAAAAGAAAAAAAAAACTTATAATAGATAATAGTACTTTAGAAAAATTTTATTTGACAATCATAATATTTTTTTAATATAAATAATTAAATTATTTATAAAAAACTTATCATTTATTTTATTTCTAAATCTTATCTTTCTCAATATAATCAACTAAAAAATTAATGTAGTCAACATCAATATTTTTATTTTATTATATTTAAGTTTATAACACTAAATATTAAACTATAATGCATAAAATAGAAATAGTTAAATATGATATACAGAATTAATAATTTTTTTTTATATTCAAGATAATTTTTTTAACTAAATATAAAATATAAAGCGTATTAAAAATATATACTCAAGATAATTTTTTTTATATAATTAGAATTAATAAAAAAATATATTAATGAAATTTTAAACAACAACCAATAATGCAACACTAGAACTTATATTTGAGAATTATATAAATAATAATTTTTTAAATTTTAAAAATTAAAATCACTAAAAATAAATCCATATAACAGAAAAAAAAAACAATGACAAATAGGAAATATAATCTATAAATCACAAAAAAAAATGGTTCATGATTCATATAAATTTTAAAAAAAATTTATAGAAACTTAAAATATATGAGTAAATAGAATATAATTGAAAAACATAAATAATAATAATATAAATAAAAAAATTAAATAAAAACTTTACCATTTTATAATTTCATAACAAAAAACAGAAAAGAAAAGAGGGAAAGATTGGCGGAGAAATTTAAAGATTTAAAAATTTGAATAAAATTGGATGAAATTTGTAAAATTATTTTATTATTTTTTAATTATATTAATTATTTAAAGTAAAACATGGAAAAGACAGGGACAAGTTACAGTCCCTATTGGAAATGGGTACTACCAACTAAGACAAAACATGTCCTTATCTCGTTCTCTTTTCTCCCTCCGTTTCTTCAAAAGCAAAATAATGAAAGTTGTAAAACTTTTTAAACTAAAAACCTGCATTCCCCACCTGTTGCAGGAACCCGCGTTGAAAATGGTGGAATTTCGACTCACACCCATCATCCAACTCAAGAACCTGCATTTCTATTCTTTCTCTTAACTACTTCTATTGCTGGATATTGTTCCTTCAGCAGAATAATCTCACGAGTGTGCTCCCAGCATTTGCAGAAATTACAATTCAAATTTTGCACGCATGGACATCAGTGAAAATAAGATCACTGGTGCAGTTCCATCGAGCTTGTGGAACTGTAGAAATCTCACTTCCATAAATTTCAGCTCACAGGATTTATGATGTAGACAAGGAACCAAGGAAAAGACCTACAATGAGAGATGCAGTGAGGCAACTGTTAAACTCAAATATCACCTGAGTGTAGTCAGCAGCATAAATTTTGCATTGAACGTCATTATTTGAACAACACTTCCATAATTTTAATTGAATCATCCATGCAAGCTTTTTTCTCTTACATCTTTCCCAAATTGTTCCTTTAATTATGCTTTGAAGACCCTGATATGTTGAAAACATGGTAATCATTTTTTTTCACTTGACTGGACATCGAATAGTGTCTATGGCTACCGCAATAGTTCTAACAGTTTCACCTACAGAATGAAAAATGGTATCATTTTCTACGTTCTTTAAATCGAAATACTGCCATGGTGTTCTTTGAATGTCATGTCATGTTCTTAATGTAATGTATTTAAATCAAACTCCAGATGTATGTGCGTGATGGGGTTGAACCTAATATAGGACAACAGTAGTCCAGCATCATGGTATGGTCAATGTTGAATATGAGGTAGAATAGCACGCAAAATAACCAAAACTGTAGATAATGTGCTTCTTCTACAAATGATAAAAGTTATCTCAAACCCTATAGAGAGTTAACCTGCCATAACGCATGCTGCAGACAAATGCATGTCTTAGGTAAATTGATACAACGTGAGCAAATGGTGTGTTCATGAAACACATGAGAAAGAGATGCTAATGCTGATGTTGACAATGAAAATGGATGGCATGCAACAGCTGCAAGATGCATCCTAGCATGTAGCAGGTCGTGTTTGTAGGAGCATAGGAAACAGAGAACACCCCCTTGATCTACTGGTAAGTTACCATTGCTGGTGGAGCATCATTTACACCAGGGGAAGCAATGGGATGACCTGAGTCCCTTTCTTTTACCAAAAGGATTATTAGAATATCTATTTTGAAGTCAAGAAAGAAAACCATCAAGCTAATAACATAACCAAAATAGGGATGGTGCTACGTGCGACCATTACTCTTTCTTTAAACGATTAATTTGATAGGATATGCAGCATCATCGCTTATAAGTTTTTTAAAAATTTCTTTATCAATTCAAACTCGATTTTAAATTGAAGCGCTAGACGTGACCCCTAAGAGAGCTAAAGAAAATGAAATAGGGCTCCTTGACATCTCCGTTTTCTAAAAATTTATATTTATGTAGTATATGTAATTTCTCAATTATACATAATTTATTTTTTTTTTATTTTTTCTTCTTCTAAAATTATTTCTTATATATATTTTGTTTATATCTCGCATGCTATCAAAACTAAGTATAATAACTACAATGACTAGTTTTGAATATGTGTGATGCACAAGAAATGTAAATACAACAAAGCACTCGGTATATAAGAATGTATTTTAATGTTTTTAAAATAATGCTAATATAAATTATAAAGCTAATATAAAAATAATTATGAATACAAATATTAAATATATTTAATTTAAATGGGTAAGAATTTAGAGGAGTGGGAGTCAATGTGAATGAGACAATGCAAAACCTGGTTTACATAGTTGGGAAGTCTCAAGTGTGAAACTGTTGACTAACGAAAGCCAAAGCCAAAGCCGAAGCATTTATTTAATTTTAGATTTAATTTATTAAATTTAATATTAAAGCACGCCAAGCACTCATTCCCTTTTGTTTTTATTACTAAATAAATAAATAAGAGGTTTTGAGTTGGAAGTGGAGTCCTACTTCTCATTTGTCTTCTGCCCTAGTACTCTCACATCATCACTAAGGGACAATTTCCCAAGATTTTAATTAATTAATTAATTAACCATGAATTTTACCTAATTCTTTTTTATTATTTTATTTTATTTTATTTTAACATATCTTGGATTTTTTTTCTTAATTAATATTTTAATTTATTTTATTTGCACATAAGTTAAACAAAATAAAATATTAATGGTTGTAAATCATTTAATGGATAAATTCAAGGTCGTCCTTATGGCAGTTAGAAGTTATAGTCAATACAATAATCATGGTGCTGATGATTGCACTAAACCCACTCCTTTTCAAGCTTAATGGGGCTGAGAGATAATGAAGGAAATGTGTCAGAAAGAAAAGGGAAAAGGATAGGTAATGTCTGTGAGAAAGTGAAACATGAAGGACAGGAGAAGTTGAGTTACAGTCCCTCGAGGTAAGTATTGGAATTGGAAATGGTACCACACACTCTCACATGTCCTTATCATTCTTTCATTCTCCTTTCTCACTTTATTTTTTTGGTCCCAAAGCAAAATCAGGAAGCAGCTTCTGTAACTCTTTAACTAAATACCTGCATTCCCACCTGTTGCAGAAGCCGCGTTGAAAATGGTAGAGTTTAGATTCACACCCAGCACCCAATCCACCGTCTCTATTTATATTCATTACCAAATCACTGCAAGAACCTGAGTTTTCTTCTTTTCTTCGTATACTTGTTCATTCTCCTCTCTTTCTCTCTCTCTCTCAGGGAGGGTTACTGGGTTACTTCCAAGTAATGCTTGCTGGGGTGTTTTCAGCTCTCATCAACTTACAGTCTTGAGCTCGAACTAGCAAGGTGGAACTGGAAGGTAACAATCTCTCCTGTTGTTAAGAGTTAGAGTTTTGGAAAAAAATGATCAATAATAAGTGTCTCCTGTTATTGTTGTTATGCTGCTGCTTTTCAATACAAAACAGTAGTACTGTTTTTGGGTTGAATTCTGATGGGGAAACTCTCTTGTCTCTACTCTCCCACTGGTCATCCGTGCCTTCTTCCATAACCTCCACATGGAATGCTTCTCACCCAAATCCATGCAAATGGCTTGGGATTGCTTGTGACAATACCAACCATGTCCTCACTCTTAACCTTACCGGTTTAGCCATTTCTGGCCAACTGGGTCCTCAGATTGCTGGTTTGAGCCGATTGAGAACCCTTGATTTGAGCAGTAATAATTTCTCTGGTGCTATACCTTCAGGTTTGGCCAGCTGCTCTTCCCTTGTTCATTTGGATTTGTCCGTAAATGGGTTTACTGGACCCATTCCTGACAGCTTCAACTACTTGCAAAAGTTGAGCTTCCTAAACTTGTATTCTAACTCCTTGAGCGGTGCAATACCAGAATCATTGTTTCAACTTACATGTTTGGAGTATGTGTATTTGAATGATAACAACTTAAGTGGTTTCATTCCTATGAATGTTGGCAACTTGAGTAAGGTTGTGGTTCTCTATTTATTTAATAATAGGTTGTCGGGTACCATTCCTGAGTCTTTAGGGAATTGTACTAAACTGCAAGAACTTTATTTGGGTGGGAATCAGTTGGTGGGGGTTTTGCCCCACAGTCTTAACAATCTTCAAAACCTCATCTATTTAGATGTCAGCCTAAACAAGTTCCAGGGCGTCATTCCCTTAGGTTCCGGCAACTGCAAGAATTTGAGTGTTTTGGATTTGTCATTCAACAGCTTTAGTGGGGGTCTTCCACCTGGGTTAGCCAATTGTAGTAGCTTGACAGAGTTGGTTGCTGTGCATAGTAACTTAACAGGTGTTATTCCCTCTTCCTTAGGCTTCCTGGATCGGCTAGTGAAACTTGACCTTTCTGAAAATCGTTTGTCAGGGAAAATTCCACCTGAACTTGGGAAATGCAAGTCTCTGCAAAGACTGCTATTGTATGACAACCAACTCGAGGGGGAAATTCCAAATGAATTGGGTATGCTAAGTGAATTGCATGACCTTGAACTGTTTATCAATCATTTGACTGGTGAGATTCCAATTAGCATTTGGAGGATTCCAAGCTTAGAGTATCTCCTTGTATATAGTAACAATCTTACCGGGGAGTTGCCTTCAGTGCTCACTGAGCTCAAGCTACTGAAAAACATTTCATTATATGACAATCAGTTCTTTGGGGTCATACCTCAAAATCTGGGAATCAATGCTAGCTTACAGCAGTTGGATTTCACTAATAACAAGTTCACTGGTGCAATTCCTCCAAATCTTTGCTCTCGGAAGAAACTTAGGGTGCTTAATTTGGGTCAAAATCAGCTTCATGGTAGTGTAACTGCTGATATTGGAGGCTGTAAAACTCTCTGGAGATTGATCCTTAAGCAGAATAATCTCACGGGTGTGCTCCCAGTATTTGCAGAAAATCCAAACCTTGCACACATGGACATCAGTGAAAATAAGATCACTGGTGCAGTTCCCTCGAGCTTGGGGAACTGTAGAAATCTCACTTCCATAAATTTGTCCATGAATCAGCTCACAGGATTTATACCTTCGGAGTTAGGAAATCTGGCAGATCTTCAGACTCTCTATATTTCCCACAACCTTTTAGAAGGTTCTTTGCCATCTCAGTTGTCAAATTGCAGCAAATTGGAAAAGTTTGATGTGAGTTTCAATGCACTGAATGGTTCAGTTCCGCATGCTTTTACAAGCTGGAAACATTTGTCCACTCTGATTTTAAGCGAAAATCATTTTACCGGAGGCATTCCGTCTTTCTTGTCAGAATTTGAAATGGTTTCAGAGCTACAGCTCGGTGGAAACCCCTTTGGTGGCAAGATTCCCTCATCTATTGGAGCAATGAAGAATTTGATTTACGCCTTAAATCTCAGCAGTAATGGAGTGACTGGTGAAATTCCTTCAGAGCTAGGAAATTTGTTCAAGCTTGTCAGTTTGGATATTTCTCGTAATAATTTGACAGGAACTTTAACAGTTCTTGATGGAATGGATTCCTTGGTTGACGTTAACATTTCTTACAATCACTTCACTGGTCCACTACCAGGAACACTGATGAATTTTGTGAACTCATCTCCATCATCTTTCCTGGGCAATCCCGGCTTATGCATCGATTGTCAACCATCAGGTGCATCAGGCAGCAGGACTTGCCCTGGAAACAACTATCTTAATCGTTGTAATAATCGATTGAGGAGTCAGAAGGGCCTTAGCAAAGTGGAAGTTGCAATGATAGCCCTTGGTTCCTCTCTGGTCGTGGTAGTGCTTCTTCTTGTCGTTTTGATGTTCGTTTTCTGCAGAAAAAGAAAGCAAGAACTCGGGGTCTATGCTGAAGAAGGCCCGTCTGCCTTACTCAACAAAGTGATGGAGGCTACTGAGAATCTCAATGACAGGTATATGATAGGCAGAGGGGCACATGGAGTTGTTTATAGGGCATCACTGAGTCCAGGGAATGATTTTGCTGTTAAAAAGATTATGCTGACAAAGCATAAACGAGGGAGCCTAAGTATGGTCAGAGAGATTCAAACCATAGGGAAAGTTAAGCACCGAAACCTGATCAGGTTGGAAGACTTTTGGTTAAGAAAAGATTATGGTTTAATCTTATACAGGTACATGCAGAATGGGAGCCTTCATGACGTTTTACATGCAATTAATCCTGCACGAATCCTGGACTGGAGTGTCCGCTATAGGATTGCAGTTGGAACGGCGCATGGATTAGAATATCTCCATTATGACTGTGATCCTGCTATAGTTCATCGAGACATCAAGCCGGAAAACATCCTCCTGGACTCCGACATGGAGCCTCATATCTCTGATTTCGGAATTGCTAAGCTTCTGGATCAGTCTGCTCCTTCAGAACCATCTACCTTGCTTGTGGGCACTATTGGATACATTGCTCCAGGTAATTCTTCCTCTGCAAAACCTTGGTAAATTACGATTTTTTCTCTTTTATTCGTTAAGCTTACTAAAATTACATGGCTTTTGACAGAGAATGCATTTACAGCTACCCGGAGCAAGGAGTCGGATGTATATAGCTATGGGGTTGTTTTGCTTGAGCTGATAACCAGAAAGAGGGCATTGGATCCATCATTCAAGGGAGAGACAGATATTGTGGGGTGGATTAGGTCTGTTTGGAGCCCCACAGAAGATATAAATAGGATTGCTGATTCAGGCCTGATGGATGAGTTTACTGAATCAGAGATCAGGTATCAGGTAATTGATGTGCTTTTGGTAGCTTTGAGATGTACTGAAAAGGAACCAAGCAAAAGACCTACAATGAGAGGTGTAGTGAGGCAACTGTTAAACTCAAATATCACTGAGAGAAGCAAACATTAGCTTCGGTTTCTTGAATGTAGACAGCAGCATAAATTTTGTAGCCTGGTTTTCTGCCATCTTATGTGCATTCAGTGTCATTATTTTTATAGGTTTAATTGAATCATGCAGGCAAGCCTTTTTCCCTTGCTGTCTTAACTCATATCACCTTAAAGTTTGAAGGGATGGCCACTGCCCACTGAAACTTTTTTCCTAGAAAAGTGATGGCCGTTGTTAAAGACCAACTCAGAAGCCTATTACAGAGACCTTATTATGTCCTTGTTTATCAAAAAAGAATACTAAAATTGCATGGGTTCAAGCCCATCTAATTGTTGAGTATATGTTTGCCTTTCCAAAACCAAATCAAATAAGATTTATATTTAATACATGCTATCTTATCAACCAATCAAATGTTATCATCTTGTTAATACAATAAATTTAAAAATGAAAAATCTTAACCAATAAATATTTATAATCTTATACTCTAATTAAATAATAATATATAAATATTATACATTAACAATACATTAAATATAAATTTTGAAAACATATTTTAACCGACTTAACTCAAGCGATAAGAGCAAGCAGGAAAGACTTCAGATAGAGATATCTCGTACTCAAATAATAATAATAAATGAACGACACAAGATTTTAATTTGAATACATAATTAAATGAATAGACGAACGATTTAAACCATATTATCAAAGAATTATACATGATTAGTTCCCGGAAATTAATAAAAAAAAATAAAGCAATCAACATTTACATAATCACGACTCACTCAAACCAAAATATAAGGTAACTGCAAAGAAGAAGGGAAGGGAAGGGGGAGGACCGTAGGATTCGCTGAATCCTAACTTTATGACCATGATTCATGCATACATCAACCCTAGGAAAAGAATAAGGAAGGTTAAAAGAAGAATTAACTGTGAAAAAAAAAAATTTAAATGCCTTACTATGAATACAGGGATCTGCCTGGGGAGATCCATTTACCAATTCTGTTAGCTGTCAAATATACAAAGGTGGAAACTTATGCCTAGGAACTCCCATGCGATCTGACAGATGACATTGATTGTGCTGAAACGGAGGCAGTAGGGCTATTTAGATCCCGGTCAGCTTTTGGCTTTCCGCTTAATCTTTCTATTGCATCTTGACAAACGTCGTTGAACCAGTCATCATCAGGCAGCACGCTGACAGAAAAAAAATGAAAACCAAATGCTTCAATGGCAATACCATATATTTGCCGAAATTTACTAACAGAAAAACCAACTAACGTCTATTGGAAGAGAAAAAAAAACTGGGGGGAGGGGGTCAAGCTATTAAGTATACAGCAATTCATGCGAATTTCCGACACTTGTACGTGCATCTAACAATTTTTCAGTATGGGATTCCCATCTTCCTGTTCAATCCAACAATGTTAAATACACGGTATCAACAAGAACCGCAGTTTTCCCCATCTAAAAACGCCTAAAACCCAGAAAAACCTTATTAAGCTCGGCAGCTCACCCTCACTCTTTTTCTATGTCTTGCTCTTTCTACAAAGATCAGAAGTTATAAGACCCTAATAGGAAAATTCTAAAAAAAAAAACCCAAAAACTTCACTTTTTATGCCAACACAGTAAAAAAAAAAAGAAAGAATCGGTACATAAAAGGTAAAGGCATAAAGCAGCGCGTAAAATGCAATATTAACAAAAAAGATAACTAAGGTTCATCAAGAACTGGTACAGAAAAGGTAAAGGCATAAAACAGATCCTTGGTGTAAGCCTATTGTGATGGGAACTCAATACTTGCAAATGAGACCCCATTGGTCAGGAATTGTGTTCCAGCTGTTTCCTAGTGCTGTTGAATTTGCTCTCTCTTGTGTCCTTAATGTCGGGTTCATTGATGCTTTGAGTTTTGGATGAACCGTATGACTTTTTTGGTATAGTGGGGAATGAGGCAAGGGGATAGCCTTATGTTGATGGAGGTTGCAGGGGTCATTAATGTGTCTGGTCTCCAGTCACTAGATCTTTTGAATAGTATGTGGGAGAGAATTTGGTGAAGATTCTAGGCAGTTATTCTTAACTTTAGAGAGTAACAGACATGAATCACTTTGTTCCTTCCGAGGGGTAAAGTTTTTACTTACCTCTGTTTTCAATATACCATGAAATTTCAAAAAAAAAAAAAAAAGTGAACTATGAAATTGGTTGTACCAATATTATGCAGCCATGTAGAATAGACAAGCATTCTAGAGTTGGGAAGCCTAAGGATGCGTATAATTTATGAGAAACAGCTTATAAATTTAATAATGATAATAATAATAATAACAAAAGAACTATCATAACATACCTATAAGGATCCATCCCTGTAGCAGCAAATGCAGCCATGGCTTTAGCTATTATTTCATTGACAACTCTATGCAAATTCCTTGATAGGTACCGGCCTTGGGAAGCAAAGCATATGACAAATTTTATATCCAGATAAAACTGCAAATAGACAAGAAATAGTTCAATTTTAACAATCCAATACAAATGCAAAAGCACAAAAGGAATGATAACAAGTTTACATGCCTGTTGTAAACCAAGTGGACCTAAAGGCCTTGGTCCTTCCTCAATATCATCCCAAAAGCTTTGATCTTCTGAGAGCCATATGATGACAGTTTCTGTAAGTCGCATCAATAGCAATGTAGCAAATCTTTCCCTTCCTACAAACATATCTGCTGCCAGGCTAGCCATCCTGTTTAGTTTTGCAAAGAGTTCCTGAATTGTAAAAACATATCATGACAACGTGGTCAGAATTCTCAAACCACATAGCATAGAGAAAATTAAAGTAAAATATCACATAAAAAATGAATGAAAGCCCATTAAACACCCAAAACCTATGCTGTAAATAGAAAGCAAAGAATAATATATAAACAGGTAGAATGAGCATGCATGAGACTCCAAGCATCCATGCATCGAGGAAGAAATCTGAATCTGAAGTGCGAAATAAGAATTATAACCTTACAAACAAGATACTATGAGATGTTAAATGCGAAGACAATGGTTAAAGTAAAACACACCTGTTTAAACTAGGTGGCTTTGAGCCACAAACAACAATTAAAGGAAACAATATTCCAACTACCAAGAGAACCAGGTATAATGAAATATATATAAAAGAATGGTAAAATCACCTGAAATATTAGAGATGGAAACCACTCCACCTCATCTGCAGTACCATCCATATTAATGTACATTTCTGCAGTAAGATGGCTATCACCCTCTTCCGTGAAAATGAGATCTAGGGCATGTTGTTGACAAAATGTATTCTTTAGTCTCTCAACTGAACTCACAAGGCGCCTCTTCCATTCTCGTTGCTCAGGATGACGGTTTTGCCTTTCTGAAGTTCTTCTACGGTGGTCATCCTTGTAACTAGCCTGATTTGGGGAAAGCTTCATGGCTGCACGTGGGAGAAGTTCATCTGCCAATAATGATGCATTCGCTAGCAAAGCAATTTGTTGGGCCTCAGTCTCAGCCATTCGCACAATTTTATTTCCAGTACCTTCAAAGGTTGCATCTTCATCCATTGAACCAGGTAATGCTTTTATGAGCATGTTTACATATGAGTTAAACACCTGAAACAACCCTTCCAGTGTTTGCCCTCCCAACTGCATGCTTAATAGTGGTCCAACATCCTCAAAGAACTCCTATAAGTGCAAGCAGAGTAGACATCACAATAAGTCAAAGAATATAATGCCATTACATAACAAAATGAACCAAGAGAGATGCATAAAACATCAATCTACAAACAAATGCCATCCACAATTTCCTATGTGGCTATGTCCAATCTCCACCAATGATCTTACAAACAAATGCCATCCACCTCTAATTTTCCTTCACAGACGAACAACTAGAATTTCTCTGGCTACAACCCACTGAACCTACTCTTTTCCATATTTCAACCTATTTAATCTAACCAAAAACATTCCATAAAGCCCCATCAACACTTGTGAGCTCCCTAAGCCCAAAGGATCCTGACACCATTGGAGAACACAAATTTGGAACAGTGAATTTGAATAGATGAAATGCCAAAAGATTTATGAGTGAAAAGACTAATTGGGACCAACTAAAAAAGGCACCCTGAATATTTAAACAAAAGTAGTTTCAAAACCTGCAGAACCAAAAAAAAGTATGCTAAATTAGGTATCAAATTGCTAGTATCTTAACCACAAGATTTGCCTTGCAATTTGGAATCCAATTATCAGGCTAAAGAACCACTTTAAGAAAAGTTATTCCCTTCATCCATGATTTATCAAAAAGTGAAGGTAGATAACAAGATCAAATTCAAAAAAAAAAAAGGAAAAAAAAAGCACAAACAGGTCAGTCAGATATGCATGTGCAAGTATACACACATAACAAAGACAAGATACATTTCTATCAAATTAAACTGTTCACCTGGACCATTGAATTGAATCGATGAGCACTACTTGTTAGTTTATGCTGAAATGCTGTTGTATTACCAAGGGATGCACTAGAGGGCCAGCCAGATTGACGAGTACCACCTGGGGGATATGTTAGCACCCAATCATCAGCAGCAGCCAGAGCTGCAGTGCTTTCTTCAATTCTTTTCAGATTAGCATCAAGCGCTTGCTCAACACTAGGCCTAAAGAGTTTCAAGAGCACAGGACAAAGTGCCAAACCACGAGCTTCCAACAATGAGCAATGACCTAAAGCTATCTGAACACACTCTGCAGCTGCCCTTAGACCACCAGCAGCTGCTGAAGAAGCCAATGCATGTCTTTTAACAAGATGGGCAAAAGCCTCCGTTTGCTTTGTTGCCCACATTACAAGCTCTGAACTATAAGCTGGTTCCTTGCCAAAAATAGCCAAGGAATCACTAGCAGCTTGAGCAATAGCAGAGAACACCAACTGTGAAAGGGCAGCAGTATATGCTCCTCCATATGAGGTGCTTGATGGGCGAAGGCTAAGCATGTTATATTGATATCTTTGGAAGTGTGCATTAAGGAGTAAAGTATGAGCACGTGGTCCATCACCTAGCTTTTTAAGAGCCAATATTGATGCACGAAGTTCAGCACCGCGTGTAGAAGGTTGACAAGCAGCTTCAGCGAGTTGGTCAGCCAACTTTTGCTTGCGCTCTATAATAGCAGACTCTAGAGATGTAAGTGCCAAAGGACTCAATGAATTTGTTTCCCTTGCTTCAGCAACTGCACGTTCTCCTTCATCAAGGGCTGCCAGAGCTTCATCTACTCTCTTCTCAGCTAACAAAACATCCAGGAGATCAGGGAATTCAGCTGACCATTTCTCCAGATCTGAAGGTTCACTATCTTCAATATTCAACAAGCCATTAGCAGTAGGGCCTTCAGAAGCTTTGGGGGACAATGAATCTATATGAACTCCCTCAGCCAAACCATGAATTAATGTTGCCTGCGTCGAAAGCAGCTTTCTTATAGATGAAAGCTCTCCTTCTAAATCGGATATTTCTTTAGACGTGCTGCAAGAACAAAGCCCACATGTCTTAAAATCCAAAATCCATCTAGTTTTTAAACAATGACAGCGGCTTCTAAAGACTAATATCATCAATAGCAGGTAAATTTATCAACACCCCATCCCCCTTCCCTTCCGGGGGCAACAACAAAGAAGTTTTACTTTCAACACCTCTACGTTTACAACTCCCCAACCCCACTTGGATCCTGAAGTTTCAGACCTCTACAACTTCTATGAATGTAAACAAATTACTGGTCTCTTAATACTGAGAACACATAAAAATCCGCATAAATTCAAACAGAAAGAAAAAAAAAAAAAAACTAATTAGTTGCTAGATGCAACAAACATTCAAACACTGTCTTCAATACCTTTTTCTAGTAATCTCAATAAAATCAATGGCAACCTCTACATCTATAAACTGCATCCCTTTGGACAAAAATAAAGAGTATAAAATGAAGTGTCCACAATAGGCACTGAATTTCAGCTAACAGAACAATTTTCAGTGAGAGAGAGAATATAAAAACAAATGCAATGCTGACAAAACAATGATTCTCGTTTAACCAACAGAAAACAACATAATATAGCAAATAATGAGAAGAAAAAATTTTGGAAAACTTTCTTCTTCATACAGACAAAGCCAACAGAATTGATAAAGCTTCAAACTTGATTTAGCATATAGTTTCCCTTTTTTAAAAGGAAAAAAGGCCACAGACTACATAAATTTATTTCAAACATAGTTCCTACACATTGTGTTTAAAGTTAGTATTAGGCCATTACCACATAAGCACCTCCAGCAACCCCTAGAAAAATGAAATCCATGTGCAAATAATATATCTGTAGTCTGAGTTTCAAGAAACTGAAATCCATGTGCTCACTTCTAAAGCACATACCTCTTGTGGAATTACACTTCTGTCTGTCCTTTGATGTGAGGTTCTTAGATCTATGGAATTCTATCAAATACCATAGCATTAAGTAGGATTTCAAAACAAATGGTAGGGTGATAGAAAACAACCTTTCTGCTTCCAATTTCCAGTTTACTAGTAAATTTACATTTTTGCATATTCTTGATCCAGCCTAGCAAGCATACAACACATCAGGCGCATATGCAGTACAGACCAGGATACTCACACCAGATAACTCAATAATACTTTCCATGATTTTTCTCACAATTAAAATGCATAGAAAACCAGCTGAAGATGCAATAATGGAGTGACTTTATCATATACGCAAAGGACTTCTCTCCTCTGCACTCAATCCAGGGTGTACTTCTGCAAAGGTTTAATTATTACTTGCTCAGCCAGTCTTTGGCCCAAACTCCAAAGCTTAAGATTTAAAGTTCTGTCTGGTTGTTACTTTTGCTGCTAGCTTTATTGCTTCAACTAACAAAGCAATAAGTACATTTGGATTCAAAAGCAACCAATATGTTTGAAGAATTAAAACAAAAATTTAACTTTCATAGATAACATAAATGCATGATCTTTTATTTGCATAAGAAAATTATGTTTGAACAACATTACATTTGAGCCATATGTTCACTTTCAATCAAATAAAATTATGCCTAGCACTCTTTGCTTCTACTTTGTAGAAAATTTGGTGGAAGTAAAACGCACACAAGAAAAGCAAGTAGCAAAACAAGATAAAGCCCGCATGGTTTATCCACCAATGGTTTTGTGCTTCATTTGATGCACATAGAATTTCTGATTTCATCTTTGGTGGGAAGGACATTTTTCTTGTTTTCACAAGATGTAGTGAGACGAATCCTTAATTGAAATGCAATAAGCAAGAATCAAATGAAATTGGGTCAATAAGAACCACTAATTATGAACATTACAACGGAGATCGTATACCCTAAACAGGCAATCACTATGACCAAATGCTAATGGCTGAGGTTAGTATTTAGCATTGGACAAACTACTAGGTAGAGGAAATGCAAATGATCGAATAAATTTATTATTTTCCTTTTTCAAGTTTCCATAATCATGATTAAACAACAATTAACTAATTAATTAGCAACGACAACAACAAATATAGTGGACTAGAGGAAGGCCAAAACGTTACCGTATAAACGCGGAATAATTAGCATATACACTTTTACGCATTTCTTCAGCAGAAGCTCTCTTCAAATCCAATAGATAAGAACATAATTGCCTTATTTCCTATTCAGAATTAAATCATTAATCAGAGTTTAACATTCAAATTTTGAATTAAAAAAACTTAAAAAGTAGTAAATAAATAGATTAGAAGAAGAAGAAAGAAATGGCGAGAAACCTTGTCGTTGAGAGAACACTTGGACTGAACAAAAGCATCGGCGTCAAACTTATCGGATTTGAAAACGTTCAGGCCTTCCTCGATTTTAGCGCCGTTTTCTTTCGCAGCTCCCGCCGTCGCTCGCGTGGACCGTCCCGTTTTCGCCGTCGCCATTTCTCTTCCTCTTTCCTCTTGGGTCTTATGTTGCCGTCAACTGAAATCAGATCGGAAAATGAGGCTTTAGGGCAGGCAAAGGCAATTATTGGGATTGAAATGGAGAAAGTGAGAAAAGGAAAATGGATCTAAGGGCAGCTTGGGAATTTTAGACGAGTCCAGCCATGGAACCACAGTTGGTGGGAAGGCAGCAGGTGGGTGCAAAGAAAAGAGAAAAAAAAAAGAGTCCTTGGGGGCGGCGTAGCTAGATTTTTACCTGGTTAAAGTAACTTTAATCTACTTTTAATATCTAAAAGTATCTTTAAATTATTTAAATAAATTTTATTTTTTTATTTTAAATTAAATAATTTTTATAAATAATAATTAATTATCTAATTAAAAACTTTTTATTATTTTATATTATATGTTATTAATTGGGTAAGCTGACATGTAATAATAACAGATGATGTTAATGACATAAGGATATAATTATGTAATATTTTTTATATTATATATTTATAATATGAAATATATAATAGTGTTTATTATTTTATTTAATATAATATTGATATATGATAATAAATAATGATATTAATGATATAATAATATAATTATATAATTTTTTTTTATTATATGTTAATGTTACATTATGACATGAAATGTATGAAAGTGTTTTGACTAATAATATGGTATTAATCATTAATTATAAAAATTTATTTAAATTAAATTAAAAATATAAAAACTCAAATAATCATAATAACAAAATAAAACTCATTTAAAGTTTTATTTAAAAACTACGTTAACCCTTAATAATGTGATTATTTAATTATTAAATTAAATGATATGGTCAACTATTAATCATGTGGCATGATATGTGAACTTTTTTGTTAATTGATTACATATTCTAAAATGCATAAAAATCTCAAACTTTTTTGTTACATTTTTTTTATCAATTCTTTTATTATAAACTATTATTATTATAATTATAAAAAGAATATAAATCATTAATTGGGACGGAATCCACGTGGCCATTGTCTTCTTAAATGTCGTACAGTTATATGTTTCAATCATTATCAAGGAAGAATCTAGTTTGCTTTAAGCTACAAAATTTGGGGGGGAAGGGAATATCCATTTTCTCCATCATTGAAATCAATTCTCACGTCGTCGTTTTGAAAGCGTCCTTCCCAATAACGTTTCACCAACTAATCGTGCCTTACTCTTTTGGACCCGACTCACACGCCCAACTCGAGCCTTACTCTTTTGGACCCGACTCAACCATTCTGTCTTGGGCCTTGACAGTCCAAAAGAGGTGAGTCATTGTCCAACGACTCACTTACATTTTGTGGGGAAAACTTCCCATTAAGTACGTCATAATTATTATTATTATGACGTTGATTTTAATTAATGTCATGCTATTATGATTAATACTAAATTAATAATTTTAACGAAAAAATTTAATGATGTTAATGATGGTATTGATATTAATAAATTTCAAAAATATATAAATTTGATTAACATGAAATATATTAAAACTTAAATTTAATGTTATTGATGGAACATAAAAAACTAAATATAAAATTTGACTTATATTATTAAATGCATTTGGCTATATGCCTTGCCCCTTCGGTTGCGATTACTATTTGTAGTCTTTCTCTGGTTTTGAACTTTTAGAACTCCATTTCCATGGGCATCCAAACAAGCATAAGTACGTAGCAGAAGGAGTTACAGTCAAGCAAATTTAGATTAGGACCAAACTGGTTGCCATTGCCAATTTGGAGATGGGGCCAGGAAGCTATTGCTATACGAATAATTATGGTAATTATCCTAAGACTCTTCTTCCAACGCTTGCTACTCGCTGCTGCTTTCAATCAAACTCACGGTGCCGAATCAGCTTCCCGCCGCCGGCTGCTCTCGGACTACACCGTTCTACTTATCCAGGTCAATTCAATTCTTTCAATTACTTGCTGAAGCTAGAGCCTTTAATCAGAGTTAGTAGATGGTAGAGTGAGAGGTTTCTGTTTGCACTTGCAGCAGGAGCAAGGTCTTCTACTAATTGTGGTTGTTGTGAAATCAGAGAGGTTTATGGAGGGGAGAGACCGCATGGTTCAGGGACGGCGTCGGCGTGGGATGAGAAGCCCTTCGAAGTACTTCCCAATGGGGAAAAGGCCTACTTGGATGAAATGGATATCATCACATTTCTTCATCCTCCCAAGGAGTTGATTCCTTTAGACCCTACTTCTTATAATCCAGCTGCCTATCTCTGGTCACTCTGCTCTCTCTTCTCTCCATTTTATTTATTAGTAAGAGTATTTTAAGTATATCTTATCATTCATCAATTGCTTTTTGTTTTTGATTTTCATCCATCTCAGCATGCTATGGATTTGTAAACCCTTTGATTTCAATTGTTAGATAGAATTCAAGGATGCTTGTTTATTATAAGCTTATGAAGCATATCCATTTACGTTACTAAGGCCCTATTCTTTTATTATATCTAAACAAGCACTTACCCTTTAATTTGTATTGCACAAGTTCTTAACTCTGAATGGAAAATTAATAATAATGTGAGCTGATGGATCGCATAGCCACATCATATACCTCTTGAATAGAAAATACAAGCTGAAACTAGGTCTGATGGTTGTTAATTTTTCGTTAAGATTAAGAATTTGTTTGAGTACAATAAAAAAATGGAGGTGTAGCTGCATAAATCGACATAGTTGAGGGACTTTTCTATTATTTAAGCCTTCATTATAATACTGATACTAATTGTTACTATATTTTTTTTAAAACAATATTTTCTTTTGTTCTTCAGGAAAAAGATTGGAGATGTTCCTGAGGAAAGGCGTCATCGGTTGCTGCAATCGCTCAATCCTAGGTTATTTCTTCCGTCTCAAGTTTTTAAAAGCTTATTGATTGAGTTATCTTCAAAAAATGCAGCATTGCCACATAATTCTCTTTATTTTTCTAACCATAACGAAAAAGATATATAGGGAGAGAAAAGAAAGAAAGAGGTCAGCTGTACAAATAGTTTAAAGTGCTTCCCCAGAAAATTTCTCATTATGGGTTGAATTAGAGGAAATATTTGATATGCGGGCATGAACTTAATGCAGGCTTATATCAAGAGCTTGGGAGATAGCTGGCACACGATACGATGACCCTAAATTGGTGAAGAAAAGTGCATCAAACTTGCTGTCAAATAAAGATGGTGAAATTCCCTCTGAATTTTATAACTGCAGAACGAGTGGAGGTAATTTGTTTGAGTTATGGCTAATAGCTTGGTGTCACTTAATACTTTTTAAGTTCTAAAAAATAGAAAAAGCCAAGTTCCTAATCAAATTCTGAATTCCTAAGAGACCATAAGGATCTCTTATTATACATAGAAATAAAAATAATTTCGAGTGCATTGTCTTTTTATGAGATCAATGTTTAGTATATTTCAATAATAAGAATCAATATTTTACATGTTGCAGCTGAAATTTTCACTTTCATATGGTACAGAGTGTTTAAAATGTGATTGTTACAATTAAATGTAATATGATTGGTATTGTGTATTTGACAAACTCTTGCATCATAAACCTGTGAACCTCATTTGCCCATCCAGTTTGTCTGATAGTTATGAAGTAGGTAGTTTCTGTAAGCAAGATGAGAGCAATGAGGTGAAGCGTATATGTGGAGTGTCAGGCTCTGGTTTGGCTTTTACTTGAGTTTATCGTTTTGAATGGGAGTTGAAGTATCCTATTTGCCAAAGCAGACAGTTAGAATAGACTGGAGGAACATGAGACCTACCTAACCCTATTGTAGCCTCCTGCATTTATGCTTAAGGTACAAAAGATGACACTACAATTGCAACACATTACACATTATAACACTATTTATACGGAAGCAATGTTAATTCCCAAGTCTTATTTTCCATTTCTTAATTGAGTATGCATCAAGAGTCGCTGAAAGTTTGGAACTCCTTTAGAGAAGTTTTGATGGGTATGTTTCACTGGTTATCATCTTAAAGCATATAGTCTGCTTATTTGTTTAATTATTTAATTTTTTAGAAAAACCTTCTTGACTCATATGGTCTGACTTTCCAACATTTTGTTTTGAACCCTCTGAAGAGCAATCAAGTAGTGAACTTTGCTTGTTTCCATGTCACATTTTTAAGTAAGCTTCTTGGTGATTAAATGGGTTTTCTTCTTCTTAAAGTGAATTCCATTAATATAAGGCTCTCCCATTAAGATATTAAGTACGCCCAAAGTGGAGCCCAACCTCCACTATTCAGCCTAATGCATGTTACAACTGTCATTTTTATTTTCATTTCAGATTTTATCTTGCTTTTATAAGATTGTCAAGTTATCCCTTTCTGTTCAATTTCACAAAGTGCTACCCTGTAATCATGGTTATATGTTGTTTTTGTTATATGATAGCATGATGGTGTTTTTGTCCCCTTTTGTCTTTCATAAGTATTTTCTTGAAAATGTCTTCTCTCTTATTTGTTAAAAAATAACAATAATAAATGTTAAGGCTGGGCTAATTTTCGAAGATTTAATAGTATGACCCTCTCAACTAGGCCCATTGCCAATTGCTTGGATCAATATCTTCAAGAAGGTCAGTTCTACACTCATGATGAGAATCTTAAATCCATACTAATCTTTCTTATTTCTTTATATTTTTATACTCTCTCTCTCTCTCACTCTGCAACGTTGTTGCTAACATAAACTGTCTGAATTGCCTGATCTCTTATCAGACTATATTTTGTGGCAGTAATGGGAAGACATATGGACGTTTTATTGGTAAGTATGTTCATCTCAAATGAAATATCTGTCTATGTGTGAAATTCTCTTTATTGTTTAAACTTGTCTGTTTAAAGGAAGTATTTGTTTTAAATCTTCCCTGTTCACAATCTCACATGGGGTAGTTAGGAAGATATAATTAATTTAGTATTTTTGTCATCTATATATGAAGATTCATTCTCAACTGTAAAAGAGGTTTTTCATCTTTACTATTAGGTTATCTTGCATGGGTTGATTAGGAATGTTGAAATCTTAGTATTTAAGCCATTTCTTACTAGAACATTCACTCTCAACTAAGAAGGCTTTGTTCTGATTTACTTTAACCAAGTTTAAGAAGGCTAAATTAGATTCTGTACTTGATTCCTGCTTTGATGGTTGAATGCTATGTTTGAAGAAAATTATGTGATACTTGACTTTTTATTTATAAATAGAAGGAATAAAGGTGAAAATTTTCTTCCTTGTTGGTTATAGTCTGTCACTCTTTTTCCTTTGTAGAGGTTAATCTAATGTAACCCTGTGATTTTTTAGGCGGATCAATTGTGGCTCAGTTTGCAAATTGCTTTAGTCCCTTGTATTTTGAGGTGACTCAGCTTAAGGAAGTAATGTCAACTGAACAGCCCTGTGATTTTGGGTATGAATTTGGGGATGGCCTTTTAGATCTCCATGAATGTCCAGCTGGATTCCCAAGACCAGGTGAAGATTATTTATGTTGCTAATTATGATGATCAATTTGAGAGTTGAATTTGGTCATATCTTGCTAAAACATCTCCTTTATCTGATGAAATTTGTATTGTCTTTGTTCCTATTTCCTGGTTGATGAGTCACAGTAAATTCTGCAGTTTGTTTTAAGTATGGGAATTAGACAAATGAATGTCTGATGTTCATAAAATTTTCATTGTCTTGTTTCAACATTTGATCTTTTAGACCTTATAAACATCTCATGAGTGGTGTTCAAAGAAAAATTTGTGGACGGTTGAGATTATATTTATTTTAAGGGTTTGGATTTAATTTTTGTTAGTATTTTAGTGCTTTTCCTCAGAAATAGAGGCTATGAGAACACTCTATATTATCTTTTGCCACTTATATTTTTTTGTTTCAGGCAGTGTAACATGGACAACACTTACTATTAATTTATTAACATGTCTCTTTTTTTTGCAGTGAAACATCCATATCCTTTCAGTGATCAGGTTGTGATATACATTCGTCATATCGGCCCTGGTGTTTTGGTGGGGCAAGCATGGCAGGAAGGTAAAAAACTAGACCAAGTGCCTCGGAAGTTATGTGGCGAGATTTTGATGGTAAAAGATTATGCTGCATCCACAGAAATTGTCTAAACAATCTTTTATGTTTTGGTTTTCTTCTTTTCCCCTTCTATACTATGTAGTTTATTTAGGTTTTAATGGAGCCATCCATGAATAGTTTCCGTGGTGATTAATGTCATCATCCAAACCACCATTTGGAAAAGATTAAGGGTAGCCATCACTCATTATAGTTGTGTTTGCTCTTTCTTTCTTCTTCTTAGACTTCTTAGAGTTGAGGGCATTTGTTTGCAATGTGCTTTTTACTGGATTGTTCCCCCTTCAAATAGAATGTCTTGCATGTCCTAAGCTTCCAATATGTCCCCGTCTCTTTTTGGTTGTTGAACTAGATGACATCTTGTTAACATCCTTGGCATTCATAACACAATATGTAGCATGTTCATGACCTTGGTTTAGAGTTGGACGAGTGCTTCTCATTGAACTCTGCATCATCGGCATCATCGGATGGAACATCAACCACCGTACTGATGATTTTCCGTAGTTTTACAACATGGACCCTGATAAAAGCTCCACCCTTGCACCTTACCTTACAATGATTGCACTTTGAACTACTAAACATAGGAAGCTATGATGGAAGAACTCTCTCCGAGTCGAGTTCCAATCATTTATGCCTTGTATCACTCTATGTGGTTAGGCTATGGAAAAATGGGGGTGTCCTTAACTTTAAACCAGTATTGCTTTTATGAGAGTTCTAATAATAGTCAACAATTCTAGGCTTTCCCCCATGAAACTGTCTTGCTGTTCTCTACAGAAGTGAAAGCTCTCCCCCTCTTACTCTTTGAATTTTGCCCTTAACTTCTGTCGTGCTATTGCTTTTAATATTGCTACTAAATATGAAAAAAATAATAATAAGTAAAAAATTAAATAGTTTAACTTTATAAAATTCATTAAATAAAAAAATATATTACCTAAAAAATATAACTAAAATCCAAATTTATTGTATTAATATTATCTTTTTAGATTACTTGTTTTATATCTTGGTTAATCCGAATGATATTAAATAAAAGCATAATATCTAAATAGTTCTTCAATTATCTTAAAAACTTTTTAAAAATTTATTTTTATTATGTTAAATCAAATCTATATATTTTTATTTTAAATTAAATAAATTTTTATCATATTACTTGTTATTTGATATTACGTGATGTTAATGTAGTCCATTGATATATCATAATAAATAATGATGTAATATATTAATGTGACATGATAATATAATTATGTAATTTTTTTTATTTATTAAATTTATGTTAATTTTATATAAACATAAAATCATAAATAAAATTACAAATGATAATTTTTATTTTATTCAATTTATTAAAAACAAAAAATAATAAAAAATTACTGAAAGTTAAATCCATTAGCCCAGTATGAGAGACTTGCACGGGCTCTCTGACTCCTTTGAAATCTCCTGTGGTGACGAGGAGTAAGATTTTGACTTAGATTAAAAAAGGCAAACATGAGTTGTACTTTGTCGGGTGTTATCCGTTTTTGGTCCTATTAAAATCTTCTTTCCGATTCTTGTGCTTTCAGTACCACAATGAATGTTCCCACACGCCTTGTTCACTTACATTTTAATTTTTGTAACACGTTATTATCATTACATTTTGACACTAAAGAAAAATAAAATAAAAAAGATTGGTGGGTTGAATTGGTTACGACGTGATTAGCGGCTAATTTTTTTTAGAAAAAAAAATTCTAATTTTCTAATATTTTTATTACTTTATTTTTAACTTTTAAATAAATTGAGTTAGTATCACTTAATACACCAAATTTAATCAATCTATTATATAATTAAATTAGAATTTCATGAATGATTTTTTGCTTAAAAATAGGATTTAAGTTCGAGGTTACACTTATTTTTTTGCTAACATGTCATATAATAATTCGCCTTTGATGATTTTTTTAATGGAAGAAAATTTAAAAAATTATGTGATTAATTGTTAGTGTTTTTTTTTTTTAAATACATGTGAAACCATTGTATCCCTAATTTTAAATTTTTGTTATTACTTTATAATTTTTTATATAAAGTTTGAATTTTTTGTTTCATATAAATTTTTTATGAGCCGTTAAATCAAAAAAAAAAAAGGAGTACAATTCTTTACTTAAAGTTTTGATCTTTTATTTTTTTTTTCAATCAAAGATAATTATTTTATTAAGTATGATGAAAACCAATACAAGACACGATACAATAGCCTACAAGCACACAAAATATGAATGAAAACACATTATTTTGACCTAAACATAATCATTATTAATTAAATAATTCAGATAAAATGTCATGATTAGTTAGCATTTTTATTGTTTAAAAAAAAACCCTATTCTCTTAAACGACAACCGTACAAAACTTATTGATAATTAAAGATTTGTTTTGGTCTCTTGTTAAGGCCAACTAGCGACCCATCCAATTTTGCAGAGAGAAAATAATTTATTTAACGTGTAATTAAATAAATTAAGAAGTATTTAATGGTCTTACTTACATGTATACAACACCACTGACAAGATCAAAATCAGACAACTCATCTCAAAAAGGAACAATAATTAGCACAAATTTAGGTTTAAGATTACTATCACCCAACAACAGTTGACTGTCCACACAATGAGACAAAACCGACCTTTGTTTTTAAAATCATGAACCCCATCTTCCAGTACAAAAATCATTGAAAGATATTTTTGTAATTCCAAATACAATTGGTATCTAATTTTTTATTTAAATAGTAGATTTCGAATTTTTATTCCTTCAATTATAAAAATAAAAATATAATTTTTGATGAGGATAAAAATTATTTACATAAATATGAGATACAATATCAAAAAAGTTGAATCACAAGGGAAGCAGTTTCTTGTGCAAATAGCTTCGATTTCATAAGAAAATTAGATTATTAATTTAACTCGATAAAATAATTAAAATCTTTTGATTCAAAGTTAATTCATTTGTTCATACTGAAAGATATTTTCATAATTTTGTTAAGTAAATTTAACCGTTTAATTCGAGAATAAAAATTGTTTACAATATGCTAATTAAAAAAATGAAATCCATAAAGGACTAATAGAGAAAAAAAAGACATAGAAGAAGGAGTTTACCGTATTATTTAATAATGCTAACCTAAATGATTAAAGACATTAAAAGACAGGATTAAAATAAGCAGAGCATGTCTTGTAAGTAAATTAATGGGTAAACTGTTTGGTAATGGAAGAGTGGTCCGACCACAGTGGTTGGCACCAATGTTTGCTTCTATATATCTCACCAACCGCTTCATTTGGCGGTGTCCCTACTCGCCCCTACACAAATATTGCCTGCTGATTCCCTTTTAATTGGCCTTTTTTTTAGTAAATTTACATCACCCCTCCAACTTTTTATTAAATACCATTTCTTCCCTCAAACTTTCAGTTTCTATCAAATATATCCTTTTATTCTGTCAATAACTTATTAGTTGATGGCATTTGTAATGTTTGGATTTCCGTCTATACCGTTAGTTCGTAAGTTTGCATTCAACATAATACATACTCAAGTTCAACTTAATCATAGTTGAGACAGGTTCGAGTTCAAATTGCTCGAGTAATAAGTTGAATTGAGTTTAAGTTTTATAATATCCAATTTGAATACTTTGTGAATTATATTTTTTTATTTAAATTTATAATTTGAATTTTAATTTAAATTCAAATAGAATTTTAACTTTTTTCTTAAATTAATGATAATCAAATCTAATCGGATTGAGTTCTACATTAGACCAAGTTGACTCGATGACACCCTTATTACCCGGCTCAATTAACAAAAAAATTTTAAAAAAAAAAAAGACACCACGAGGATAAGAGTGTAATGCTTGAAATTATAAGGACCAAAAAGATTATATAGAGTAAAATATAGGGATGAGAGATAGTATTAAAGCTTATTTGCATATAGAAAATTGTTAAGGAGCATGAACCTTAGCGTCGGTGGAACTGCCAAGAAGCAGCGACGAAAGTGTGTTTAGATCGCCGAGTTTTAGATTTTTCCTTTTCCCTTTTGCTTTCGGGGGCCATTGGATTTTGGGACCCTTCGGCGGGAGTGGGAGTGCGTCTGAGAAAATAAATAAATAAATAAATAAATAAAAGAGGAGAAGAGCAGCTGAGGAATAATGCAGGTGTGAGGAGTAAGAGTAGGAAGAGGACCACTTCTCATTTATTATTATTGCATGCTTCAATTAAAGATTTTTTTTATCAATTTTTTTTTATTTTTTGGGTCCAAAAGAGAATGTTGATTGAATTCTTTCAATTTTATTTATTGCATTTGACCCCAAATTTAACCTACTAGTATTAAATACCCATTCTTTTGTCTATTATCAAGTTAAAAGGATGTGTAGGCTTTTTAGTAGATGTGGTTTCTTTTGTATCTTATTGACTCTCCAAAGTATTGTTTTTACTTTGTTCAAGTTTGATTAAAATATAGAAACGTCAAGTACATTAAGGAGGAAACATAAACTTTACCTTTAAAATTACATGAAGGAGATAAGAAAGTAGTTTTATTGGAAGTACTATTTCCTTTGCGTAATGTCTATGAAGACATGAACTACTCCTTTTTATATGTTTAAATCTAACACGAGGTAAATTAATTCTTTCTAATTTTAGAATACCATTCAGCCCACTTTCCGCATTGAAGAATACCTTAAATTCCTTGATGTGAATGGCCCTGGTCGGTAAGAAAGTCTACAGTTTTAGTTGCCTTCACAATGAATATGAGTGATTCAATATGTACAATGTTGTAAGCATTTTTCGAATGGAGGTTAAAGTATACCGAATGTCATATGATCCATCACTCCTATAAAAATATTATTTTTGTTTAATCGAGATTTTTATTTGAATTAAACCATTAAATTTGCTGTTTTTGTCACACTAATATCAGCTTCTAGGTTTACGACAACGGTGGATTAGCTTGTTACTGAAAAGAGCCCGGTATAATAAGAGTGCTATACAGTTGAGTTAAAGAGAATGTCACATATCTCATATTAGTAAGAGATGGAATGGAATGTATCTTGAGTTTACGAGTAAGGCTCGTGACAGCAACATCTATTTATTTATATTATTTTACAATTGAAAAGTGAGTCTTGAGTATCTAGGAAATGCTACATGTTTTATAATTGCAAACTTTTTTTTTGTTTGAAACGATAATTTCATACTTCAAAGAAGTTAAATGTGATTTTAAATATAATTTGAGGGTTTCTCCCCCCTAATTTATTTATGTTATGAATTTATAATATTGTTAAAGCTTTTGTCTCAAATAAAGCTTTTCATTTATTTAATGACTCTTTCTTAATTGTACTCAATTTTTTTACATTAAATTTGAAATTAACAAATTGTTCAAAAATAAAATCGCAAACATAACGTCCGAATCTTTATACACGAAAGCATTAAGATATTTATTAACGTACACTGTAATTTTTAAATATTATTATTACTAAAAATGTACATGACATATCTATGGATAATGTTTTAATTTGCACATGGACAAAAAATCATAAATGTATTCACATTTGTTTATATAAATAAAAAAATTAAGATATGAATGTATCCAAAGACAAAGGAAGGGTCAAACCTGTGGTCTTGGCTACAGCTATGAGCCATATTTACATTAAATTAACAATTATATATGATATCTCTATCGTATCGATTTATTGACAACTGGAAAATCGACAATACGAGATATTTATATTAATATTTTATTTGTAATTTGGATAGTAAGAAAGTGTCGGTACAACCGTACATGGCACCCGCATGCACCATCAGATGATCTTTGCTCGACCAAAAGGAAATGTGAAGATGGAAAAGCAAAATGGGAAAAGCCTTACACTTTGGGTTAGACCGCCACATCTTCCATGGCCCTACTCGGATTTTCTCTTGACCACCACTGCCTTAACTTTGTAGGGTACGATCCTTTAATATCTCACCTATGCCCATGGGGTAGTCCTTGATCACTTGAAATAAATTTATGGTAAAAAGGAAAATTGTCAAAACGAGTACTGAATTAAATGTTTCGACATATGAAATAAGATTTAAATGAAGTTTATTATGTAAAATTGTAAGGTTGTTAGTTAAAATTTAAGTATAATATCTAAAATGATTTTAAATTTTTTATATTTTATTACATTTAATCAAACTTTTATAATTTTATTTTAAATTAAATAAATTTTAATAATTAATTAAATATTATTAATTAAAATATTATTTATTATTATATATTAAATGACGTTGACTGGTGAAAGGGAAAGAGCTTAATATGCCCTTGCCCTCCATAAGTTTTAAATTTTTATATTTTATACTTAATTTTTTATAATTTTTAAATTTTATCTTTATAAATATTAAATTTATAGTATAATTATTTTATAAATATTATTTTGTCATCAAACGTGAAATCTCAATTTTATTTATAATTGATATAGTGGATTAATATATCATAATGAACGATAATATAATTACGTTATATTTTTTACTCTACGCGTCAATGTTAAAATCATTTAAACATAAAATTTTCAAATTAGATCAGGCAAATCTTATCCCTAATAAAAAAAAGACTCAGATTCTGAAATTCGAATTATGGATACCAAAAGGAAAAGGTTAATAACTTAATCTATGGATAAGACTTTAATAGTACTAATTGAATGTGGGCGGGAGGGGGAATTGAATGAAAGAAAGGTAGAAATAATAGTACCAAAAGAAAGGGGAGAAAAAGAGAATAAATTGAAGAGAAAAGAAAAAGTAAATGGCAAGGATTTGGCGATGTGGCCCGCCGAGCTGTGACCACAAGCACAGTCCAAATGCAACGCACAAAATTTTCAATTTAAAATCGGACAGAACTGTAGGCAGTACTAACAAAACAGACTAGCAGTATTTGAAATAAAGTAATTTATTAATTTATGGATGCAAAAACTCGTCTCCTGTCTGACGATTAATCGTCAGCAATGGCATAGAGAATGTTCCTGAAGTGTTCATGAAATTTAATTTAATTTAATAATAATCGCATGCACGAATTCCTAACTCTCTTCTTATCGAATTCACATTTTATTTATTAATTTAATTTACTTTTATTATTCTGTCTCTATATATACCTTAGCTCTCCAGTCACCTTTTCGTCGCCATCCAATTCTAGTTCCAATTCCCACTCCATTCTCTCTTTTCTGTTCACAATCCCAATCCAACGAAACCCTTTGTTCATTTCTTGATTCTGTGATTTGTGGCGAGCAGGTTTCGTTTTCCATCAGAGTGATAGTTTGAGAGAATCAATGGCTCTTTTGAAGGAAGTCGACGACAGCCTCACTAACCAAATCTTCTCCATCCTGGAAAACAGGTTTCTGTTTGGGTACGACAATGTCGATGCCGATGAACCAAAACCCCATCAAAGCATTCAACTCCAAGAAATGAAATCTGGGAAACATGTGACTGGGAAGGTTAGAATCCTTTCCATCGACAGCGGCAGCTTTTCCGATGGGATATTGGCAGCCCAATCCCTGGTTCGTCTCGAGAACTTTCTTCGTCGGAAATCAGGAAATCCAAATGCCAACGTCGCCCATTATTTCGATGTCGTTGCAGGCTCCGGAGCCGGTGGAATCCTTGCAGCATTTTTGTTTACTCGCGGTAAAAATGGCTCTCCGATTTTTTCTGCTCACGAAGCTCTTGATTTCCTTGTAAAAAATCGTCGGAAACTTTTTCCGACATCGTCTCAAGGAATATTCGGTCGAATTTTCCGTCCATCAAAGGTGGAGAAACTGCTGAGCAAAACATTCGGGGAGCTCACGTTGAAAGACACGTTGAAGCCGGTTCTGATTCCCTGCTACGATCTCTCCACCCATGCGCCATTCTTGTTTTCCCGCGCTGATGCATTGGAAATGGACGGCTACGATTTCAAGATGAAGGACGTCTGTTTCGCTACGTCGGCTGAACCGACGGTGGCAGGGCCGGTAGAAATGAGATCGGTGGACCAGAGGACGAAGATCGTTGCCGTTGAAGGCGGGGTGGCAATGAACAACCCAACGGCAGCAGCGATGACACACGTGCTGAACAATAAGCAGGAGTTTCCGTTCTGCAATGGCGTGGAGGATCTCTTGGTGCTGTCTTTGGGGAACGGAGAGTCGGATTTCGGTTCCGGCAATCTTACTCCTCCGCGGCAGAGGAGCTTCCTTCGAATAGCCGGCGAAGGAGCTTCCGATATGGTGAGTAATTCCTCTCTAATTATCACCTTTTACAGTTTGCCACTTCTAGTTATCCACTGTGGGGCTAATTCATTCCATTGTTAAACTTACAGGTTGATCAAGCAGTCTCCATGGCATTCGGACAATACCGAAAGAGCAACTATGTGAGGATCCAGGGAAATGGGGTCATCCCCAAAAGCAGTGCAACTGGGGAGGCATTGAGCAGCATTGCCAAAGAGATGCTGGCACAGAGAAACGTGGAGTCAGTCCTATTCCAGGGGAAGAAGATGAGTGAGGTGACCAACTTGGAGAGAATAGAGATTGTCGGCGGTGAGTTGATCAAGGAGCAAGAAAGGAGGAAAACAAGCATCCTGCCGACGGTGGTGTTGAAACAACCGCAAGCATCATCCTCACCAAGAACATCATCGGCCTCCGCCACCACCGTGTCAACACAATCCTCATGCTGACACCCTCAATTCCCTGTCTTATTCGATATCTCTTTCATAATTTTACTTACCTTAAAATTATGAAAAGCAACCTCAAATGAAGACAGAAGATTTTTATTTACGGAATTCATTCGCTGCCGCTCGAGATAAATTATAAAATTGTCGATGTGCTGTCCGAGCTGAGCTGTAAACTCTAATTATATAATAATTATTATTATTATTGGAGTTTTTTTTTTCTTTTGTTATTTTTGGAGTGGTTGGTGGGTGGGAAGAGCTTGTATTATTTGTATAGTTAGACAAATTTTTAGTTTGTTGGTGACCGTGTGTATACATGGAGTTAAATAGAATCAAATCAGAAAAGCGGTGTCGTTTTCTTGTTTTGTGTTGTTGGTATTGGACAAAAACCTATTGCTGTTGTATGTTAGTATTAATATCATATTCCACACACAAAATTTATGGAATGAATGATTAATTATTTTATAATCTCTTTGCTTTGCATAATTACTGCTCTTAAGAAAGCTTTCTTACAAAGGAAAAAAAATTAAAATTTCACGAAATTCCTCTCTATAAGCTTTTTCTAAGTTCTTCCCATCGTGCTATACCGTACATTTTCTCTACCCGTTTCCTAACTTGTATCCCTCACCTCTTGCCACAAAGTAGACTGCTACTATCTTTTCTTCTATCGTGTTCAGTGCATTTCCTCTTCTTTTATCAGAAGAACCTCTTATATTTAATAACAACATTTCAAACCCAATCACTTTTTTTCTTGGATTGCTAACACATTGGAAAGTTATTTTAGATAGTAATTTCATGATCTAAGAATGTGGGGAGACACTCGAAAGAATCTATGAATTTAAGAGAATCTTTAAACTTGATGTTTGTTCAGTTCTTGCACAATTTAAATTAAATTTGAAATCAAAATTCCTTGCCTCCAAAGTAAGTGTCCAAATGCACCTTTGATCTTTGTTGTTTTGAATTTCATGCCCCTTTTTTCTGTTTTCCAGTCAAGGTTTGCCTTTTTTGTACCCTTCAATCTCCATAATATTCATGTTCTTTTGGTCGTGAAGCTACATTAACTTTGGCTGTGCCCCCAAACTCTTGCAGGAGGCGCTCTATGGTCTTCCTTGAAGTAACCTTGTCAATCTCAAAGGCCCTCATGTCTTCTCCAAGTTCTGCATGGCCACAAGGAAGAAGTTGGGAAAAAGAGAAAAATAAGCATCAATATTCAATAGATGCAGCTTAAGCTTATTGTGCATGTTCTATCAAAGTACAGCATGCTGAAATCGAATTAGTCTGATATAAGAACAATCGTCTGCTCTGTGTCAAGGTCATGTTATTGTATTGTCCAAAACCGATGAAGCATCACCTTAAAGATATTTCAATTGTGTGTTGTCTGCAAGTAGGTTAGGTTGCTGGTCCACAAATTAAAGACTTATTAAGGAGATAGAACTAAGAATACACCAATAGTCTTGTTTATATGTGAGTCATTATGCTAATAGTCTTGTAAAAATTCATTGGAATAGAGCGTTTTTTGCAGCAAAACTGACCTGGTTGATGAAGAACTTTGAGAGGCAGTTGTGAAGCATTCGAATTGAGGAAGAAAAGTAAGTTCTTCATGACCTCCACAGATTCGGTTGAGACTAGTATTTCTCTCTAGATTAACCAGACATAAGCTATAGTTAAGTAAAGCCACTTTCCTCATAATTAAGGATGGAGACTTGCACGAATGAACTCTCAAATCAAGACTTAAAGGGCAACAATAGTAGGCATGAAAAGTATTGGACCCAAGATGTTTCTGCATGTTATCGTTATCATAAAGATTATTTGTACCCTCTAATCTGAAAAGAATCCCAACCACCATAAGATCTTGATCAAATATCTGATCATGGCTATATTTGTAAAGTTAACAACTGTATCTGATCAGTCATTGTTATTTTGCTAATGGTAGTATTTGCATACCAGTTCAGTCAGACAAATATCTGCAAATTTCTAGCATAGTCCATAAGGAGTTAAACCATTGCAGCTCTCAACCAGCAGTCACATTAACTGATCTGTTGGAAATACTACCTGGCCAATCTAATTAATTAAACACATTATTTGTATGAATATCTTTGGAAGTTGAACTTCTCCAGTAGATCATAATACTCAAAAACATCTCTCACAAATTCTTAACTATAGGTTAAAATTTTCCAATTTCAAGATATAGAGTGACAGCTTGCCAATAAAATAACTCTCTAGAAAAAGTTTAATAAAGAAATGATTTTACAAGAATCCAAACCTTGAAATTCTTCTGTTGATCATAATAGCCTGAAACAATCATGAGCAGACGAAGTTTCTCCATCTCTGAGATTTCATGGCAAGGATTTAAAAAAGGTTAGAGGTCTTTTCCACACTAAAAACAATGAAGGGAAAATGTAGATGCTTAAATGTTTTTGTCGAAAAAAATCTGAGATGGAATCAGCAATGACAGGTTCCTCAGAGGTTTAGTTAAAAGCAAGTTATTAAACCTAGAATCTTGAAGTAAAGACCCTCAAGTTCCCAAAGTGGTAGCAGCCAAGCAGTAAAGACTGTATCAAATATAATGTTCTTGCAACCAAAAATGTAAATTAGTATTGATTTCATATTTAATAACTCACGCTGAAAAAGTTTTATTTCCCGAGTTGAGGCATTGCCATGTGCAAGAAGCTGCTGCACTGAAATGCCAATAGAACTCATCCCAACATGTGAAACCGTTAACCTTGAACCAGCATTGTCTAGCTTGCCTGGCTTAATAACTCCAAATTAGCAAAAACCAATTGAATGGGTAATACAGGACAAAGCTCCATGTATCCAAAAGGAATATATTCTCAAAAAATATTATGTATTTCAAGGAAAAGCCAAGCAACAGGTAGAACTAAATTTACATGTATAACTCCATGTGCACTGTAAAAACAAATATGCTTGCAACATGTGAGCAATTAGGAGCATTTTAGTGATGATGCATCAACAGATTGGATAAAGTTGACCTCTTTAGAAGCCAAAGGCTAAGGTTATGCGTTCTTCATCAACAAAAAAATTCCAGCCCTCTTTTTAGATTAATTCTCAATTGAATCAAACCCTACTTTATGCTAATTCCCAAACCCTATCCCAATCTCTACCTCATCCAGAAGCACCAAAGTCCCAAATTTTCTAGCCCTAACCCACTAGAATCTAAAGTAGATGTACTTCCTCAAATTTGTCTACATCATATAATACTTCTTGACAACTTGATATAGCTATTTTAGCCTTGTCCAAAGGACAATTAACATTAAACAAAGACAACAGTTCCAGATACTTTTGATCTTTATTCATGATTTTCTTAATCTTTTGATTGTCTTTGTCATTCTTAATTCCAAATTCATGAGGGTGTTTGTAGGATTATTTCATTTTTATTTTTTGAAAAAAGGGCTTAACAGCTTATGCAAATGCCTGTTTTTTGTGAATGGGCCTTTTGCAAGCTATATCATCTGCATGCAAGTACACACAGGCAAAACTCTTTTTTTTAAAAAAAAAAAACTTGAAAAATTGAAACCCAAACTTTGCTCAACTAGAAATAAAGATTAACTTACTTATGTTATCAGTCCTACTAGAGTCCTGTAAATCAATTCTCTAATTCCTGACCATTAAATTGTCCTAATTTACCTCAAAAAATAAATGCCCTAATATATAATATCTTCTTCCTCAGTAAGGTAAAACTGCTCAGAAGCTTAAGCTTTATGATGACTCCATTAGTGTACCTTTAGAACATTTTCTCACTCTGTACTATTGATACTTAAAAACTATAGCTGAATACCAAGAGTCTCTAAGAAAACTTTGTGGAAAAAATTCAAATAAATTTAGTTAAAAGGCAAGTGCACACCTACTCTTGTCCACTTCTTGAAATCTTTTCCCAAAATATCAGCTACTCTCAGCTCAGAGACATCATATAGTTTATATCGCACTGCAAATCATGAATTGTAGATCCAAATATTAGCCTACAAGAGTAAAGAACACCTGGAATAGGGAATGGAGTGGAATAACGTTTTTTTTTTTAGGAGAGAGAGGGAGTACATGGATAAATTGACAAAAAGGCACTTACATATCTGGTACAGGCCATTGCATCCAAAACGACCAGCACCATTAATCAACAATGTAGCCATGTATTTATCCTTGGAAGTACATTGAGGGCTTGATAAATTCCCAGTGTCTAGCAGGATGCCAGCTAACTGCACAAAAAATTGAAAAGGTAATGCAATTGAATTTTCAGCTGCTTATCATTTGACTTTGTTTGATGACATTTTCATTTTCAGTGCTTAATGTTATTTTAACTTTCACATTTTAGTTTTATTAAAAAGTAACTTAGAAATTAAATATTTACGGCTAATTATGTTAACCAGAAATAATAGGCAACATTTTATTTAACTGCTTGCAAAGTGCAAGTGGATGCTCTATTTATACATGCTAGTTGCTTTCATAATAAGTATATCACTCTTGAATCATTTGACACATAAATAGGAAAAGATTAGTTAATAGCATATAGCAAACCATAAAGGCAAAGAGAGGAAAAAGAAGTAAGAATTTTGAAAATTCAGGAGTAATAGCAGTAAGTACCAAAAGTCGGCTGAATCCTTGTCCTGCCAAAATCTCAGGCGAGGTCATTGCAAACTTTTCAGCAATAAGTGTACAAGGTGAGCACTCCTGCACACATGCATGTGTAAAACAACAAGATCCCATGACTATTTCATAACCACAGAATAGATTTAAAAGTTAAGAAAAAAGAAACTTTATATGAATACATATACGACAGATTACAAAAACCAACTTCTTAGGTGTGCTCAATGATGATTGACAAGGAAAAAAAAAAACCAACTTCTTAGGTGTTGTTTTGAGAGGTTTATGTTCTTAATTTCTGTTTTTCACGCATTCTTTAACATCAACAAATGTGTTTGATAATGTGTTTTTGTTTTAAGAAGGAAAAGGATATCACTGGAAACAAGAACTTCTACTGTTTTGCTTTCAAAAAGGATATTTCCACCCTTACACAATTCGAAAGAGACTAAATGATGCTTGAATATAAGCAGTTTTATTCTTGTGAATACTTTTCTTTTATAATAACAAATACTTACATGAAATAAAACATACAATTATATAATAAAACATGATTATAAAAGAAGAGATAATATACATAATAGGTATTTTCAACCAATATAATTATGTAATTTAAATACAGCATAAAAATAAAAAGTGGATATAGACTAACTAATATGATATAAAAATTATTTAAATATATAAAAAACCAAAAAGGCAACAGCTACTTATAAATTTTATAAAGTTACAAAATAAAAATTATATTTTATAAGTTATAGTTAATACATTATGAATG